TCCGGCCGTGCCCTCCCCAATAAACTTTATGACTCTCGAGGGTTTACTGCCAGGAGCGTTTCCATCCCTCCCAGGTGCTCCCCGCGCCCCTGCCCGGCCTTCCCAGCTCTGCCCCACCGGTGCCCCCCACCCGGATCCCCAAATAAAACGCTGAGCTCAGCGTTATTCACCTTACAGAGGCCTGACGGGCTGCGACACACCGAGGCAACCCCTCCCTCGCCAGCAGCCCCCCGGCAAACGTGGATTTGCAGTAGTGGGGGGGGAGACACCCCGACACCCTCCGTCAGCCCCGGCCACGGGGTCCCGCAGCCCCCGCAGACCTGCCTTTGCCCTAAGACCTGCTGTGAATTTCCCACCTTGTCCGTGGGGGAATGGAGGCGTCGCAGCGGCGTGTGTCAGAGGGGAGCAAAGAGCAAAGTCCCCTGGAGAAAGTGGCCGGAGGAAAAGTACCCGAAGCAGGAGGCTGGAGGGGGCGGCGGGGGGGTACTTACAGGCTGTGAGCCATGGCGGTCATCTTCCCGGCGGGGCTGCCTTTCCCTTGGGTTTCCATCTCTTTCTCTTGGCTGACTCTGAAAGGAGAGGGCAGAAGGGCTCTGTGAAAACACCCTGGACGCGTGTCCTGAAGCCACCCCCCTGCCCTGCTCCCTCCCCACGCTCCTGCACGGTGTCACCCCGCTACCCTGGGGACGGAAAGTCCTTTGGGAAGGCAAATCCTGCACAGCCACCTGGCAAGTGTCCTGGTGTTGGGAGAGGGTTGTTCCTCATCTACCCAGCTCCCTGCCTGCCATCCCTACGTCCCCCTGCCAGGGCTGCCCTCCCTGGGTCACTGTAGAAAGCAGCCGAGGGGGAGAAATACAGGTACATGCAACAGGCACGCACAGACCTGGCCCCCTCACTGAAACCCTGCGCTGGATTTCACAGCAACAACCTCCCCTCGGCCCCAGGGTGCTCAAGGGGTCCCCCAGTACCCCTCCCCTGCTCCAAGCACCTTACCCTTGGGCTAACAGCCTTCCCTGTGGGCATGGGTGCCACGAGCAGTGCCAGGCTCTTGGGCTGGTGGCCAGCAGTGCACCAAGCCCTCCGGCATGTTTACTTTGGCCAGTGTTCCCCTCCATCGAGCTCTGGAGCGAGGCAGGGCTCTCCCCCACTTCTGTCACCGGATCGACGGTGCCTGCACACGTCAGGCTGGAGCAGAGTCCAGCCTGGGCTTCGCTCCTGGCAAAGCCAGCGGATGCCTGGCTCCTGCCAGGGAGGGGCAGCGGGTTTCAGAGACCCACCACGGTGCTGGGTCCTTCCCCAGATCCACCCAGGAAGAGCGCTGAGGGTCACCTCTTCATTTCACTGCTCTGAAAACCCCAAATCTTGCAGCTTTTCTTCCCTGGGGGATGCTGCAAGGGGACTCCTTGCTCAGGGCAGCTGCCCCCAGGCATCCACGCGGGCTCCCCAGCCTCATCAGCAGGACTGGGAGAGCTCAGCCTTCCCTCGCCAGCCAGCCAGGGAGGGAACAGACAGCTCAGAGAAATGCAGAAATGGCAAAACCCAACCCCACTGCGATGAGGGAACAGCGGCGGGCAAAGGGACCCTGTGCTGCTGGAGATGGCACGGTGGTGGGGAGCAGACTGGGATGGAGCGTCCAGGAAAGAGCCGACGCCAGAGGGAAAGGCCTAAACCAAGCGAAAATAGAATTTCTACATCTTCCATCCTCTGTCCTGCCAGAGCAACAGGGTCTATCTCCGAGCCAGGAGACTGGGGCACTCTGGAAATTCACTGCATCCGCACGTTATGACCCAGCTACACACCTGGATCCCGTCTCCCAGCCCTGAAATACGGCCACCTGATACACCACGGGCGGTAACTCATCCTGCCATCGATACCGCCGCAGAATTTCAGGGATTCATCACTCAGTTTATAAATATTTAAACCCAGAAGGAGCCATGTACTCCCGTAAAATGCAACGTATTATACAAGCAGAGCATCCCTCCCTCCACCCCGGCGCAGAGCGAACCAACATCTGGCGCTCTCCAGACAGGTCCTTTGCGACTAGAAACCGGGTCAGGGGGAAAATTCCAGATTGTGGTCCCCGCGTGCAGGATTTCTGCACCCTCCAGCTGGGATATATTGGATTTACCGCCCTGTTCGGTGCAAAAAATAGCGTTGTCGAGATGAAATAACGGCAGCTAAGGCTGCTCCTCCAGCTGCTTCCCCCCCCTGCCACCCCAGGCAGGTTCTGGGCACGCAGGGCCCCGCGCTCGCAGGACGCTGCAGCTGCAGCCTGGAGCATTGACAGGCTCCCCGCCGGCCGCCTGCTTCATGCAGTATTCACAGCTTCATACAGTATTAAGAGCTGCTGACGCCTCGTGAAAAAACTGTGAAAAGCTTCTATTTGGGGAAAGTTCCTCTTATAACGGTGCATCCTGTGGCTTCTCTTGTTTCCCTTTTCTCCTGGTTCTCTTGCTGGGGAGAGCAGGGCGAAAAAATAGGCTGATAGCGTTGCCAACGAACCTGGGTTCGTCATCAGAAGAGGAAAATAACCCCCCCCCAGCAAACAACCCTGAGAAATTAATTCTCATCTTGCACCCAGGGAGCTGCTATGGGTGTGGGGTGGGTGTCTGGCTGGCTTGCAGCAGCTTGGGGAGTGATGCTCAGCGAGAAGGGGGAAAATGGGACCTTTCTGGGTCTTGTCCCCGGGTTTGGCTGCAGCCAGCACCCTGCATGGAGCACGGTGCAGGGTTCTGGGGCTCGAGGGGGGGCCCTGCATATCTCCACATTAAAAAAAAAAAATATTAAAAAATCAAAGAACAAAGAGTCTGTTTCTAAGCAACTGTCTCCAGTAGGGATGGAGAGCAGAGGAAGGGGGAGGGAAAAAACTTCTGGGGTCCCAGAGCCCCCGGCAGGACCCAGGGTGGGGAGGGAGGG